GATTCTTCTATAGAATCTTTGATCAAAACATTTCGTATTGGTAGCCAGGCACTATCCAGTTCTTCTAGTCTCATGGCAAAGGAGGCAGTTGTTCATACAGGCGATTAGTCATTGTCTTTTTTGACATTCACAGTTTTGAAGAATATAATCCCTGACCTATTTTCATTTAATAGAATATTCAAATTTTGTGTTTCTCTGATGTTTCTTTGTGATTAGACTCAGGTTTTACATTCTTGGCCAGAATACTGAATGATGATGTTGTAGTCCATTTCAACTCATAGCGACCCCAACCTGACACAGTAGAACCTCCCCCATAGGGTTTTCTAGGCTGTAATCTTTATGGAAGCAGATCTCCAGGTGTTTCTCCCACAGAGCCACTGAGTGGGTTAAACTGCCAACTTTTCAGTTAACCGTTGCTCTACCAGGGCTCCTGAAAATACTGAATAAGTGATATTATTTTCTTCTCAAGATATCACATCTGCAGGCACATGATGTTCATCTGTCCTTCATTGATGATGTTAATTTTATCTCCTGGCTGAGGCATTTCTTGATTTCTCTATCATATATACAATTTTTTTTTTACCTCCCATGAAACTGATAGTTTCATTTAACATGGGGAGACATGTTAAGACTATGTAAATATCTTATTCCTCATCAAAATGTAGCATCCATTGATAATTCTTACCTGATCCATTCTTAATCATTATGGTTTTTCCAGCTCCATCTCTCTCTCCATAGGTTCAGTTCTGGAAAACCCTTAGCCTTTTGTTTATTTGCTTTGTTTTTTCAATATTGCTTTTCCTCGTATTCTCATTATCTTCTTCTAGACTCCTAATACATCTGTGTGGGACATTCTCATTCTGTCCTCCACATCTTCTTGCATATTTTCCTCTCTTTTTTCCTCATGACACTTCTGTGTGATTTTTACCAGTGTCTTCTAATTCAGTAATTACTTCTTCAACTATGTTTATTCTGCTCTTCAATATTTTATTTTTAAATATCGGTGAATATAAGTTTCATTTTTAGGAATTCTTTTGATTCTTCTTTATATCCACTATTCTTTTTTTCATAGTATATTATTATATTATCTTATGTTCTTATCTCAGTCATCTGGTGCTGCTCTAACAGGAATACCACAAGTGGATAGATTTAGCAAAGAGTTTAATTCTCTAACAGTCCAGTAGGCTACAAATCCAAAATCAGGGCATCAGCTCCAGGAGAAGCCTTTCTCTCTCTGTCGGCTCTGGAGGAAAGTCCATGTCATCAGTCTTCCTTTGGTCTGGGAGCTTCTCTGTGCAGGAATCTCAGGTCCAAAGGATACGCTCTGCTCCCGGCACTGCTTTCTTGATGGTATGAGGTTCCCATGTGTCTCTGCTTGCTTCCCTCTTCTGCATCTCAAAAGAGATTGCATCAAGACACTAATCTTGTCAGCCTCATCAGTAAAACCTCATCACAGTGATAGAATTTATAACACATAAGGAGATCACATATAATCTCATCATAGTGGTAGAGTTTACAACACATAAGGAAATCACATCAGATAACACAATCATACAATACTAGGAATCATGACCTAGCCAAGTTGCTACCCACATTTTTTGGGGGACACAATTCAGTCCATGACAGGTCTCTTTGAAGTTACTCTGTTATTTCCACTTCTTTATATGTTGTCTTATAACTGTTTTGTCTGCTGGCTTGCCTTTATAATGGTTCACTTCTTTCTGTGTTTTGTAATTTTCAATTGTGAGTTCATCTTCAGCAGTGAAATATTTTTTTTTCCCCTCATGAGTATTCTTATGAGCCCAGGGTTATGAAAGTGGCCACACGGAGTGATTTCATGTTTGCTTCTACATGGGGTTAATATGAGTTGGAATCAACTCTATGGCAACATATTTTGGTAGACCAATTTTTAAATTAATTTCTTATTCCGTACAGGTAATATAAATTCAGACCCCATGCCTATATATGACGTAGACCTGGAGCTTTAATTTCTTAGAGGTAACCTTTTTCTTCTATCTACTGTTCAGGAATGTAGGCAAACCTCCTTTCTTCTTCCTGGCCTATCGTATCTAGAAGTTAGTTTTGGTCCTCTTCTCTCAAATGAGGTTGTAAGTAAGGGTGTTCAATACTAAAACTCTCATACACACCCAGCTTCATCTAGGCCTGGCCCCAGTTCCCTGTTAGTGTTAGAAACTCAGCTTCTAGCACTTGGAGCCTGTATTCAGATCTTATTCCTTGCTATGGTGTCCACTCTGATTTGTACTTCTCACTTCCTTTTCTATCACAAGAATATTCCAGCATTTCTTTCAGAATTGGTTGTTTTTGTTTGTTTGAATGTTTTTAATTGTCTTTTATCTGTCCTTTTTATGTGTTTGTAGTGGGAAGAGACCTGGTCTGCATCGGCTCAGTCTGACATGATGCCAGTGTATAACTGTTGATGTTCCTTTTTTTTTTTGCTTTGTTTCAGTTTGATAATCATGTTTTCATGAGATAATGCTGTGGTGAGAATATTAATTCATAACATTTCCCTTTAATTAGGAAGTGGAATTATTAGACCAGAGTGCAAGGAATTGTATGTTCAAGACGTATTATTTGCCTTTAGACAATTTCTCATATTCATAAGAATTAAATCCTTGCAATAATGGTCTGCTGTGCCTCTCATTGGTTTGTGGCCTATAGGTTGGGTATTAGAGCATAAACCCTTTTTAAGTCTCTTGACATATACCATCAAATTGCTTCCAAACAGGGAAGGATAGAGAGAGAGTTTTTTTTTTTTTTTTAACCAATAGTGTATGAACACTATTGTCAATAATGGGTATCATTTATTTTGTCATATGCTAATTTGATAGGTGATGGTTTGCTTTTCTAATTGTCATTTTAATTTTTTATTTATTCACTTACTGATGTACATGAAGAATCTTATGGCCATTACTGAAAGACAAATGACAAAGTATATGTATGTTGGGGAGATATATTTGTAATTTATATGACCCCCCCCCAAAAAAAAAAAAAAACTCATTGCTGTTGAGCTGATTCTGACTCAGCAACCTTAATAGAATGGAGTAGAACTGTCCCACAGAGTTTCCAAAGCTATAAATCTTCACGGAAGCAGACTGCCACATCTTTCGCCCGCAGAGCCAGCTGTTGGATTCAAACAGCTCACCCTCCAGTTAGCAGCTGAATGCTTTAACCACTGTGCCACCAGGGCTCCAATATATATGACAATGAATTAATATCCTTAATATATATATGAAGAACACTCATGAATCAGTTAAAAAAGAATGAACACACCAGTGAAACAAAATGGCAAACATGATGAAAAACTAATTCAGAAAAAATATGGATGGTCAATAAATATATGAAAAATTAACTTTGCTAGTAACCAAAGACATACAAATTAAAATAATGATATCCTTTTTTTTCTTTTGGCCAATCCAATAGATTAAAGACTTATAATATCCAGTTAAAGCAAGAATGTGGTGAAATAGAGGCTACTAGACTTTTGAAGAGAATGTAAATTGTTAAAACCTTTCTAGAGGACATATTGGTAATGCTTTTCAAAAGTCTTAAAATTGTACAAATATCTACCAACCCAAGAACATCATTTCTAAATATTTACCCTGAGGAAGTAATAAAAGATAAGCTCAAAGTCATATATACTAGGATATTTACCATAGGAATAGTTGAGCAGCAGAATTTTGGTAAATAAATTGTGATACTTCTAGAAAATAGAATACTATTCCATTAAAAAAAGAGGAAAAGGAGATTGTGGTATTAGAGTATATATTGACATAGGAAGACATTTATGATATTAGTGAGAAAAAGATATAAAAAAAGTCTCAAGTAATATATACCAAATGTTGACAGTGATTCTCACAGTGTAACTGCTTTTTATTTTCTATTTTTATTTGTTTTTATAAGATTTAAAAATGAACATTTATTAAACATTTGTAATAAAAAAATTTTTATATCTAAAAAAATTTTTTTTTTCAATCCAGAAATTAGGAATAGTACCTTGACAACTGAAGCTATTTTAAAAGAAAGCATTTAAATATATATTCTTTTATAAACTTCATGGAGTATTTTTGAAGACCATGGAAATGGCCATTGTTTTTGTCTATAAATGCTTTAGAAATGTCAAAAACTTGTTGGCATCAAATCGATTCAGACCTGTAGCAGCCGAGTAGAACTGCCCCATAGAGTTTCCAAGGAGCGGCTGGTGGGTTCAAATTGCCGACCTGGTTGGTAGCCATAGCTCTTAACTACTACACCACCCATTGCCGTCAAGTCGATTCTGACTCATAGCAAGTCTATAGGACAGAGTAGAACTCCCCCACAGGATTTCCAAGGAGCACCTGGTCGATGGAACTGCTGACCTTTTGGTTAGCAGCTGAACTCTTAACCACTACGCCACCAGGGTTCCTAGAAATGTGTGGTGTTGTTGTTGTTGTTAGGTGCCATCAAGTCAGTTCTAACTCATAGCGACCCTATAGGACAGAGTAGAACTGCCCCATAGGGTTCCCAAGGAGCAGCTGGTGGATTTGAACTGCCGACCTTTTGGTTAGCAGCAGAGCTCTTAATCACTGCACCACCAGGTTTCCCAGAAATGTGTAGTACTGTGTAATTTTGGTTGCCTCTGATTATTATTATAAAATAATATCTAATTATTTGCCCAAGCAATGATTTTCAAAAGCCTGTGTTTCTCATCACATCCTTTGGGCTGTCTTTTGCTCCCATCTTAAATGATGTTTCAGGCAAATGCTTAAGAATTTACTTACAGATCATTGTGAGAAACAATGAAAAGAATGATATGCTAGATAATTTAATAAATTGTTGGTAAATCTGTTTACCAGTTTATGCTTATGGACACTTAAGTCCAGCCTGATTTGTATGTCCTTTTTGGTACCACTGAAAACATCGTTTTGACACTGCTAAGTGCAGTGTTTTACTGTTGGATTATTTTTTTTAAACCTTTTTTTTAAAATCTGTTTTTCTCATAGGAACTTTCAAGAAACCTTGAGCTGAGTACTAACAGTTTCCAACGACAGTTGCTTGCTGAAAGGAAAAGGGCATATGAGGCTCATGATGAAAATAAAGTTCTTCAAAAGGAGCTACAACGACTATATCAGAAATTAAAGGTAAGCATTTTAAGTTGCATTATTTTTCACTGTAGTATTAGATGAAACCATATAATTTAAAACAGTAACTGCTACTATTGATATTTGTAAGTTGGTACAATATTAATTAACAAAATTCTAATATTATCTTTGGCACTTATAAGGAAAGGGTTTATTAATATAACCACTGTAACACATACCAAAAGTAAAATACTTAATACATTATTAGGAATGATATAGCTGAAATGAGTTGTAAAATCCTGGGAGAAAATTATGGCAACAGAAGTTTTTCTGTGTTTATGGTTGAATAATCAGTGTTTTTTCCTCAGAGAATCCCATGATTTTCAAAGTCGTTTAAAATTATGCCCTTCGTTTTCAGTGTTTAGAGGAGGCATTTGAATTATTTAATTCTGTTAAAGCAGGTGTTCTTAACACTCTCTACAGGTTATCGATTGGTTGAAATTACCCGCAGAATTGAATGTTTATACATTATCTTGCCTAGAGTTTTCGTTTGTTAATCAAATTCTCAGAGAGAGCCATAGCCCCAAAATGATTAAGGACACCCGTGTTAAAAAGGAATGGTCTAATTTTTAGCTCATCAGTAATTCAGAACCCACATTTGAGAGATGCTAACTAAATTCTTAGTCTGTGTGGGAGGACGGTCAAGACAGTAGTAGCTCTGTCAGGTAGGAGTGAATAGAAAATAGACTTTGCCTTATTTGCTCTCATTTTCTTTACTGCCAGGACATACTGGACTTATAAAATTTCAAACCTGAATGTACTAGATGCATTCCTTTCTATAGTTTGGTAGTTATGAAGAGAAATCAAGCCAGGTATAATTCAATGTGGTAAGGAAAATACAGTTGACAGGATAAAGGTTTTTGTTTTATTTTTAACTGTGAATCCATACCCTTGAGTAATTGTATTGGGTTTATTTTCAGGAAAAGGAGAGAGAGCTGGATATAAAAAACATATACTCTAATCGTCTGCCAAAGTCCTCTCCAAAGAAAGAAAAAGAATTTGCACTGAGAAGAAATGGTATAGTAACTATTATTGTTGAGAAAATGATACTATAGTTATTATTTGTTAATAATAAGATAAATTAATTCTGAATTAGAAGGGAAGGTAAAGAACCTCATTTAATTAAATTGAAGTTAAATGTATTTTTTACAATTAAAATTTCCTTATAATTTTCAGAAATCCTATCAACTTTCTCAGTTTTGTTCCCCTGAGGAGAGGTGATTAAATTTATGTTTTACATATTTTTTGAAATTTTCTTATTGTAAATTTATTTTTAAAAGTTTATGAAAATGTTTAAACATATTCCAAGTTAGAATAGTATAATGAATCTTCATATATATATCACCTAGCTTTAACATGTATACATTTTGTCAATTTCATCTATTTTCTCAATTTTTTTTTTCCGGAGTATTTTAAAGCAAATCCCAGATAATTCATTTCAGTTGGATTCTTTGGTATTGTTATGAGTATCTTTACTTTGTTTTAGCAAAAGTTTAACTTCTCTCTCTTGTGAATTGCAAAAATTTTTAAGCATAAATTTTGTAACATAATAGGATTTACAGTCAGAATTGTTCTCAAATTCCATAATTGCTAGAAACAAAAGTAGTGGTAATAAGTATTCATAGAGCTAAGCAAAACCTGCATTATCTTATTTAGATGGTGACTATATACTATTTGAATTCCATATATCTTAGCATTGTTCAATGTGATTAGAAAAATCCTTTTATAATTTTCATGGTAGCTGCGTGCCAGAGTGACTTTACAGACCAGTGTACAAAAGGAGTACAAACCAGTGAAGACTTTGAGCTGGAGGAATTTCCTATAACACCACAAACAGTTATGTGTTATGAAAACAAATGGGAAGAATCTGAACATCTTACTTTGGTGAGTTTAGCAATATGAGTAGGTACCAAACTCGAGGTTTGAAGTTATTCCTGAAAACACAGTATCAAACATTTTGAAATTCAGCAATGAAGGTAGTAACTACTAGCTAAACTTTTAAAGAGACAGAGATAACATACATGTATTTTATTAAATTCCTTTGGATTGACTCTTTTAGTCCACATTGCATCTTTCTTGTGCCTCAGAAATGTTGATTGTACCTTTTGAGTTGGAGGTAGGAGAGAAGAATTTACCTTCCAAGTTTCTTACTTTTATGTCCACAGATAAGTCTTGAAAACGGCTTACTGCTTCTACGTTTAATAACAAATTGCAGTAGTTTTCAAATGATTTGTTAGAATTCAACTACATTTAATTTCATTAGCCTCCTATATATATAGAAGAGCTTTACAGGTTAGCCTAGTGCTAAAAAGATAATTGTAGTGATATCTGATGTTACACTATTCATATTAGAGTAGACTCTTTGTTGGACCTTCATTTAAAAGGACTTACATACTGAATCACTGGAAAGTCCTTCTTTATGTGTTTATTTTTCCTAAGAGGATTTTATCTTTACTGTTTACAGTTTAAACTCTGAAGACAATACACAAATACAGCATATTTCATATAATCTTATATTTTTGTACCTTGTAAGATTCCTAGTGACCCCAAGATCTCTTTTTATACTACAGACAGAAAGGATGGACTGATGTGGTTCCTCTCTGTACTGTAGTTTTTTGTTTTGCTTTTGCTTTTGTTTTATAATTTGAACTTGTTAGCTGTATCTGCTAAATGTGTATCTTCCTATATTTGCACTATCAGTGAGACCAGGTCATGTTGATGTGTCTCTTTGAAAATGGTAAAGTATGGAATAAAAATTGAGGAATAATTCTTAACTTCAAAAGGATAAAAATATTTGATCTTAATATTACAAGATTCAGCAGGAGAGGGCCCCAACTTGAAAAGAGCCTTGGAGTTACACTATCTTTTAATTAAACTCTGGTTCTAACATTTTAGCTGTGTAATTTCTTGTACCCTCAGTTTCCTCATCTGTAAAGTGGGGACATGGGTTATCTTTTAGGGTTGGAGTAATAACTAATGGTCAGATTTATAAAGTTCTTAAGGCCCAGCCTGCCACATTAATGGGTCTCAGAAAATGGTAGCTGTATTAATTAGGTACAGGCTAAGTTGCTATTGCAAAGAGACCTAGAACACAGTGGCTCAAGCCCCTGGAATCGTTTCTTTCTCTTGTAATAGACTGAAGGTCAGTGGGTTATCCAGAATAGGGAAACATATCTTTGTTCCATGGCTGTCATTCTCTCTTACTGCTCTGCCATCAAAGAGTATTGTCCTCATCTGTGGGGTTGGAACAGGCTCATGGGAAGGGGGAACTAGGAAGTAGAGGGCAAGCAGCTTTTGGTTTTTTAATAAGCATGATCAGAAGTTGCACACATACTTCCACTCACATCCCATTGGCCCTGTCTAGCTGCAAGAGAGGCTATCAAATGTAGTCTGCATCTGAGCAGTGCTATGTTCTGCTGAAACTCAGAGGATTCTGTTACTAAAAAGAAGAAGGGGAAAATGAATACTAGGTGACAGTTCACTCTCTCCTGAAAATAACTTCTGTTATTTTACTTTTATTAAGAAAAATTACACACACATATCTGCAAGGGGCCATAATAAATAAGGAATTCTAAGCTGATAGCACTTTGATTTAAAGATTATAAAAATTGTTAATTGGAGGCTTTGGGTATAGTATAAACTTGAATGATTTACTGCAATTGTTACTGCCTGTGTTATGGTTCAGCATTATCTCACTTGGTTACCATAGTTGGTTAATAGCCTTGTCTCGGTCACTATGAGTTGGAATTGACTTGACAGCAGTAGGTTTGGTTTTTTTGGCTCGTTAACTGAATTAATCAGATTTTGTTCTGAAAATGTACAAAGCAAGGATACTTCTGACACTTGTCTCTTAAGAATTTTATGTAGGGTATTGACTTCTATTATATTGATTCTGATATGTCTTATAAATGCTTCTTTAAAATTTTAGCTAAAGACATTCTTTGTTTATTCTGTGTTTTTGAAGCATCTTTCAAAGGTGATAATTTGTGACTTACTGGTCCATTAATTGAAAATTTGCTTTACTTTCAAAATTAGTTGGCAATTGTGTGTAATGGAAGATAAATCTATTGTATTTAAATAGTTTTTCCCCTTTTGAAACTTTTTTTTTAATTTATAATAGAATCTGGAATCCCAAGAGAGAGGTGGGCATGAAGAAGCAGAGATTCTAAATCCAATTGTGGAAGGAGAAGAATCCATGAAAGAACTCGATGCTATAAAACAGGAGGTTGAGAAGCTGGAGAATGGTAAGAAAAAGAATTTTAAAGACTGTAAATCAGTTGCTGTTTGGATTTAGGGAATAAGGACAAGTTACTTTTAGAAAATTCGGATGACATAGAATTCAGGTGAAGGAAGAAACACATCTTTGTGTATTAACTAAAGGTTAATGAAGAGATACCTGAAAGATGACTCCCTTTATTGACTTGGAATTGAGACTCTCTAGTCTATAAACTAGCTTATGCAGAAAATCAGTGAATTGTGAGGCTCTGAATATATTCCTGTAATTCTTCTTTGGTTTTAACATGAAAACTAAATCTGGTAATGTGTTCAATCATTAGCTTCAAGGTTTGGCAAACCAAGTCACTTAGTTTTAGATACTGGAAATGAAGTTCAGGAATAACTTTTTTTTTTTTTTTTTAATATTTTATTGTACTTCAGGTGAAGGCTTACAGAACAAATAGTTTCTCGTGAAACAGTA